AGAGAGAGAGAGAGAGAGAGAGAGAGATACACACACAGAGAGTTTTTGTGTTGTTCGGGCGAGAGGCCGAGAGCGCTGCACTGGCAAAGCCCGCGGCCGCTCCCGGCCGCGCAAGACGGCTGCCAGACCCCGCAGCTGCAGCCGCCTTCCCCCCGCCGCCGGCCGCCCCCCTCGCTGCCTGCTAGCTCCGGGGACGGCTCCGGCTCCCCTCCCCAGCCTCACCTCGCCGCACCCCTGCCCGCCTCACGTCCCAGCCCGGCCCGCCCCTCGCCCGCCCGCCACGCCAGGCATCGACGACGCCATTGCCGCGCTCGACGTCGGCGGCGGCGGCGGCGGCGGCGGCGGAGGGCCGAAGAGGGTCAACCGGAAGGCGCTGTACAAGGAGTTTGAGGAGCGCGAGCTGGCGCGGCTGAAAGAGGAGAACCCGGGCCTCAAGCTGTCGCAGCTAAAGGAGCGCGTCTCCAAGGCTTGGGAGAAGAGCCCCGACAACCCCGACAACGAGTAGGCGAGCTAGGCTGGGCGTGCTTGACGTAGCTCGTAGGATATCTTTAATCTTAAGGCCCCGCGTAAAGGCGTGTTTCCCCCCCGAGACCCGACACACGGCTCGTTGTGCGACTGCGAGTATATCGTATATGGGACACGATGTCTCAAATATGAGGGGTTTTGACTCCTACCGGCTCCTGACGCTATTCCTGGCAGCTCTTATGACGTTCCGCAGCCCGCGAGAGCCGACAGCGGGGCCGTGCCGCGGGTGCCTACTGCCGAGTGCCACAAACACTGCGCCGTCCCGCCATCACCTACAGGCTGTCTTGTGTGATGGTTGGGATGTCCAAACGCCACCATCTTGGTTCTTGCGACCTCAAACCCGCGAGCTGTATGGGTGGTCCTGACGTCGACAGACGCCCAATGACCACGGTGAAGCTGAGCCGGAACGCGTCGACAAGTCTCGCCTGAGCCCGTGGCGGTCGCGCCGGCTGGGTCGCTGTGCACGGGCCGGTACCTCAGGCGTCACCTCCGCAGCCTCAGGTCTCACACTCCATCACCTCCGACGGGACGCTTTCGGTGGCACGCTCGGTGGCGACTTTGTGGCAGCCCCACAGCGAGCGCGGCGTCGAGCCTGTTCGGTCTGGTCGGTTCGCGGCACTCACTGGGTGCCAGGGAGTGCCGCCGACACGCGAGCGGTGCTTCCTGGCAGCGCGCGCCGGCTGTGGGGCTGCCACAAACTCGAGTCACGCTCTTTGGGACATTTTCGACGCTTTTGTCCCATATACTCGCACAACATGCCACACGGCCCACCCTCCGCCGTCTCGCGCACCCGCTCAAGAAATTCTTGCCAACGCTCTCTCAAGAAAAAGAATTTTACCAGAACTCCTCGCACGACACTGGGCGCATCCCTCCCTTGGGTTGTGTGTTTTCTTTCTTTCTTTTTCTGGGCGCGGGACTGGCGCGCACTGGCACTAACACAGGTACACCACGGGAGCCGCCTAAGCGACTCCTGCGAGGACGGCGAGGCACTTAGCTCAGTGCATTCGACCGCCCTCGCCGCAGGCAAGCTCATTCACAATCTGCTCTGCGATTGCCGTGTGAAGAACGACCGTGATAAATAAATAAATAGAGCAGACAACCCCTGTTGGGATTAGGGCAGCAACCCGACGGGCAGACCCCGCCCCGCTCGGAGGGCGTGCTACGCCTCGAATTCTACGCCTCCTGCAGCCGGAGCACTTGGAGCACTTGGAGCACTTGGAGTGCAGTCGGTAACCTCACATCCAGGGCCTTCAAGAGGAGCTGTCGGTCGCGCAGCGCCACCGCATTCTCCGCGACGACGTAGGACGCGACGAAGAGGCGCGTGCCGCCGGCGAGAAAGTTGTTTGGTATTGCTAAAAATCTCTCTCTCTCCGGCGAGCGCCTCCTCGACGAGCTCATTCGCCGGCGCGGCAAGCGGCAAGGTGATATCGCACCGCCCGAACGCCGCAGAGTGGCGCAGGCCAAGGGCAGATCGCGTGGCGGCCACAATAAACGATATGCCATGTCCGCCTTGCGTTGTTTCATTACACCGAAGGCAAAGCTCAAAAAAAAATCGAAAGTCAAGCGGACGTGTGTCGGACTTGAGTCGCCCTTGAGCAAGCCCGGTCGAGCAAGCGACTCGCTTTGCTCAACAGCGTCGCATAGTGTTTGGAGTTGCGAGTCGAAAGGCCGCGACCGTCATCTGATGCCACTATCTCCATCACTGGCACCATCGGCGCCACCGCCGGTTGGTCGATGCGATCCGCGACTGGATGACAGTCAGGCGGACGACTGGATTCAACTCCCCGCAGCAACGCGGCAGAGTCTTGGCGTGGGTCTCGCTGCTCTCTCGGCTCTGATCTCCACGTTTGCGCTGCTCATCATGAAGCACTCGGCTGATGTCGAGAAGGGCCTCCCGCTGCGGCCCAGCTGCAAGCACCCGTGGCGCAAGCGCTGGTGGATAGGATTCATAATGAACACTGGCAGCGAGCTGGGCATTTCGACATTCGCACTCATGTTTGTGCCGATGACGGTCATCGCGCCGGTCAACGGCTCCGCCGTTATATTCTCCGCCCTTGTCGCGCGCCTCGGATGGGTCTCGGATCGCATCTACCGCATCACCCAGGCCCGCAGCTGCTCCGATGCCAGCCTCCTCTCCGCTGCCACTGCGTCCTCTCCCCCCCCCTGCCCCCTCCCCTCCTTCTTCCTCTCCTCCCCCGGCGCGGGTAGAGACACTTCGAGACACTTCCGAGACACTTCCGATAGGCACCCGGCACCCTCCCGACGCCATCCCACCCACACGACCTCTGCACCGCACCGAGATCGCCCCAGCCTGTGTCCGCAGGTGCGGGAGTACCTCTCCTATCTCGAGTGGCTGGCGCTCTTCGCCGTTGTCGGGACGCCGGGTCGGGGCCTCTCCTGACCCTTCTCGGAGCCCTCCCCCCCGTAGGCGTTGCTCATCGCTGTCACCGGCATTGTCCTCTGCGCGGTGTTTGGCCGGTGATCTAGACGGGAAACGCGTATTCTTGTACTCCAGCCCGCGCTCGAGAGGACACGGACTCCGCTGCATTCGACCGTGCTCCGCCGTACTTTCGGTCTCCCGCACCCCTCGTCCTCGCGCGGTGCTCCGAAGACGTTGGCGTACTCTCCCCGTAGGGCCGTCGCCCGAGAACACGCTGCCGCTGCCAGAGGTGCAGGAGCAGTTCTCGGGCGCCCCCTTCCTCGCGCTCGCCATTCCCGCCGGCGTGTACGTCGTGCTGTGCGTGGCCATCCTCGTGCCCCGCTCGCCCCTGAAGCGGTGGAGGCCGGCGCCAAACTCACTCCGGCTCTCGCTGCTGACGGCGGCGGGCGCGGGCGTGGCGGGGGCATTCTCGATGACCTTCGGCAAGGTAATCTCTCCCCATACCTCCCCATACTCCCCATACCTCCCCATACCTCTCCATACCTCCCCATACCTCTCCATACCTCCCCATACCTCCCCATACCTCCCCATACCTCCCCATACCTCCCCATACCTCCCCATACCTCCCCATACCTCTCCATACCTCCCCATACCTCTCCATACCTCCCCATACCTCTCCATACCTCCCCATACCTCCCCATACCTCCCCATACCTCCCCATACCTCCCCCCTCCCCATAATACCTCCCCATACCTCCCCATACCTCCTCCATACCCCCCATACCTCTCAATATCTCCCACACATCTCCCACACATCTCCCACACATCTCCCACACATCTCTCCGTCTCTTGACGCGGCGAGCTTCGGCAAGGTGATCACGACCGCCGTCGAGGATCCTCCGAAGGCCGCCGGGCTCTGGGTCACCACGCTAGACGCTGAAACACTTATTCATGTCTCCCAACCAGCACTCGAGAGACACGTACTCCGCTGTCTTCACCCGCATTCAGCTGTATTCACTGTTTTCCTATCAGCTGTTCACGCGGTGCTCTGCGCGGCAGAATACCGTTTTCGCGCCCTCATGTCGGCGTATTCACCCACCTGCAGGTCACCTGGCTCGCGCTCGGCGTGCTGGTCGCCTCCGCTCCAACGCAGCTGTGGCTGCTCAACTGGGCGCTCGGCTCGGGGAAGGCGTCGTTCACGGTCCCGCTCTACACGGTGATGATCATCTCGACCAACATCGTGCTCGGCGGCCTGCTCTTCGACGAGTTCGCCTGCCTGTCGCGCGCGTACCTCTTCGTCTGCGCGTTTGTCATGGTGGTGGTTGGCGTGTGCCTGCTCTCGTGGGGTCAAGAGCGCGCGAAGCGGCTCGCGGCGGGGCAAGGGACTCCTAGATGCGGAGACACGCACCCGCGAGATCACGCGAGATCGCACGAGATCACACGAGATCACCCCAGATGCGGAGCACCCCCGAGATCACCCCCGAGATCACCACGCCCTCACTGGCTCCGCCTGTGCCAGCCCGTCCGTGAGCTCCCGCGATGCGCATGTACGCGCACATTCCTCCGCACGCCCTCACCTCCCAAGCCTTTGCGGCACCAGGCCGGCCAGTGGAGGGAAGCAGCCGGGCAACAGCGTCACCCTCTTCGTCTCCATCGCCGGCGCCTCGACGGCGCACGCCTCTGTCGACATCTTCCGGCCGAGGGAGGTGCGGCGCTGAGGGAGGGTGTAGAGGGTGTAGAGCTCTACAGCTCTACAGCGCTCTACAGCGCTCTACACCTCTACATCCGCTACACCTCTACATCCTCTACACCCTCCCTCTCAGGTGCGGCGCTCGCGGCGAAACGAGCGACTGTCCATGTCCACCAACCCGCTCTCCTCGCAGAACCGGGCGCACACCGCGTTTGGGTCGCGGCGCAACGCGCTCGAGCAGATCATCGCTCAGCGGCAGCCGTCCCCCGCCGGAAGCCCGACCCCTACGAGCTGCTCCTCTCCGGTAGCCCCACAGCTCTGCCCGGGCTCCCACGGCTCTGTTCGGGCAGAGGAGCTACCGGCGCCGGTGCCGGTGGTAGACGGCGTACAGCTCGATGGCCATCACCTCGGCACAGAGGGGGAGGATGGTAGCCCGCCAGCCGCCCCACCTCCGCGGTACCGCTGACATGTGCATGCACATGCACGGTGCTCTGCAGGATATGGACTGTCCGACAGTCGCCGCCGCACTACTCAATATACGTTGTGTGACCATGCTGGCGGGGCCTCTGACACGGCTCTGATTGCAGCAGCTTGTAAAGTAGGAGGAAGAGTAGAGAGGACCGTGAAATCTGAAACGGCGTGCAGCTCAGTTGTGAGAGCAGAGTCGCCGAGACGAGCCTCGGTCCGCGTGCCTCCTCGTCTCCCGCGTATACACGCTATATACCGTTCTCACGCATCCAAGATCCATAAAGCATAAACTCACTTGGCTAG